AGGCCCGAAACGTCAGCCTCTCTGCTCCTGTGATGCTGCTTGGCCTGCTGTGTTCATCCAGCCCTGCACCTTGTTGTCTCTGCTGCTTACATGTTTTGCAATATCTTTTATTCTAAGATTATATTAACAAAGACTAACATTGTCATTCTGCTTCTAAACTTTTACTGTTTAACAGTTGACTATAAATTGAAACAAAGGCAAATACAGCAAGAATAATCCATTAATAATTCACATTTGGGGGTAATTTCTCTTAATTAGCTGAGGAAGTGCTTGCATCTAACATCAGGAGCTCATGTCATATAATTGAACAATAGTCGGAACTTTTATGACAAATGGTTTAGAGACAAAATTCAACGCAATTACACTGTCTGCCTGTATTAGTTCAGTAAGTGCAGCAGAATTACAGGCAGCAATTATAAAACTGAGAGCTATGCAATAAATCTGACTGGCATAAATCAGATTGTGTGTGGAAAAAGTGCAAATAATAGACTGTCAACTAATGCAGGGAGGATGAAGTTATGTAATTAAACATTTCTTGTAATTTGATTTATACTGAGCTAACAGGACACAAATATGACCGAGTGGGCAATCTTCCCATTTTTCTGGCAAAGCAGGAGTCATGTCTTGTTTGGAATGTTTCTCAGAGCAAGAAAACTAGCTTGGCCTTGCACAATCTTACCAAACCCAATAGCCTCCTCCACTTTGCTGGTGTGAGTGCACTACTTCCCTTTGCTACCTCTATCTCTCTTACTGCACCCACCTTCAATCAAGGCGTCATGCTCAAAAGTGTGATACCACTCACCCCACAAGCCCTTTGCACAGCCTGCTCAATTGCTTGGGAAAACTCACCACCTACACCACACAGTCATAGCTTTCATCTTCCATAATATCTATGGCCTTCTCATTCCAGGAGCAAAACAATCCACAATACAGCAAAAGAGAAACAGGGTGGTGTGCTGCTTGTCGTTTGGTTCCTCACCTGTTATGAGCAGAGAATACTGACTACGACTGCAACATCAAAATTGGCACTTATCAAATAAAAATGCAAGATTCAAACCATACAGTGCAAACTGAGCAAGGTGATAGAAGTGTACAAAATAATGAGAGGCATGGATAGTCTGAGTCTTTTCTTTCCCAGTGTAGAAATGTCAATTTCTAAGGGACATAAGTTTAAGGTAAAAGGGGAGCAAGTTTAGAGGAGATGTGAGAGACAAGTTTTTCCACGGAGGGTGGTAAGTGCCCGGAGTGCACTATCAGAGGTGGTGGTGGAGGCAGACGCAATAGCAACATTTTAAGAGGCAAAAAGACTTTTAGTTTAGAATGGCATCATATTTCCATTCACAGCATGGTCAAGAATCAGCAGACACAGATTTAAATTGAATGGAAAATAAAGCCAAGATAACATGGGGATTAAAGGTTTTTACGTAGCAAGTGGTTAGGTGAGGGACTATACTGCTTGAGAATGTGGAGGAGGCCGATTTCAATCATGGCTTTGAAAAGGTTTACAAGAATCAAATTTCTCATTCTTGGAACCAGTTCTGAGGATAGATTGAAGAAGTTGAGACACTCTCCTTGGAGGGAAGAAGGCTGAGAGGAGATTTGGTAGGGGTTTTCAAAATCATGAGCAGGTTGGAGAAGCTACTCTCACTCATGAAAGGAAAAAGAATGAGAAGTCATAGATTTAAAGTGCTATGCAAATGAAGTAAGGGTGGTGTGAGGGAAAAAAAAAACTTTTTCATGCAATGAGTTGTTAGGATATGGAAATGTACTACCTGAAAATGAGGTGGTGGCAGGTTCAATTGAGGCCTTAAAAGGGCATTGGATGATTATTTGGATGGAAATGGTGTGCAGGGACATGGGCAAAAGGCAGAAGATTGGCACTCTAATAGAGCTGGTATACACACGATGGGCCAAATGACCACCTTCTGTGCCACAGGAATTCTGTGACTGTTCACCAATAATTCGAAGATAGACATAATTTTTCCCATAATCCTGAAAATTAAAAATCATTCTTGCAGAGAACTGGCATAGACATAATAGATTGAATGGACTTCTCTGATGTAACCATTCCATGATCCAGTGTCTTATAAATAAAGTGATTTTACCATTATCTGTTTCAGACTTGGGAAATACTTTATGGAGGTTTTCATTCTGAATACTTCTAGATGCAGGACAGATTTCTGTTAAACTGGTTTCTTCAAAGGTAGAATTTGAAGTACATCAGCTCAGACAATCAAATTCAGATTAAGTGAAGATCTAATCTTTTATGATTCAGACTGTGTTAAGACACCATCCTGCCTAAGCAGACAACACCCATTTCTTATTTAGGGACTGAATGGCTTCCAATACAACTTTTGTATTTTGCTTTCTACCCTCCATTAATTGTTGGCTAGCATCCCCATTTTATGTCAAACTTCGTTGTATAAAAGGTGGGAAACAGCATCTAACCTGTGCCTCAATGATCTTCTGCTTAGAGTCTACTGCTGCCTGCATCTCTGCATGATCTTTCTTCAGCTCATCTTCAACAGCCATTAATCTATAAGGAGAAAACATGAGCAACACAGCAGGTTCAATTAGTTCAGTAGAACTGATCAAACAGAATTGAAAGCTCAGTCAATCCTGCCGTGGTCAGAGATCAGACAAACCAACACACTGGTAAGCAGTATTCATTACATTCTGTAAATGAGGTACCAATACAGCTTTTAACATTCAACAATCTTTAATGTATTGAAGCAATCCTGTCTAACTGAAAGGGGGAGGGTTTTTACTGAACACAGCCACACAAAAGTCAGAATTCTCTCCTCCCTCCTGCAATTTTGTATTGCTTAAGTACCCCTTCAGTACTTCAATCACATGAATTTTCTTTTCCTGAACATTTTCAGTGTGTGTCAGCAGGCAGTATTCTATCCAAAGCCTTATGACCCAAAATTCACACTTGCAAAGTAGACCATTGGCTAACAATGGACAGTGAGAATCCAGGCAGCGGTTTCCCTCTTCAATGATAAATCTTCTATCTGGATGTTTTCTGATCAACTTGTTCAGAGATATTATTACACACTTCTAGAACAGATGAGACTAGAACTGGGGTCTTCTGGCTCAAAGGTAGGGATATGACCACCACACCACAGGCGTCCCTAAGATTCTTTAATTGCTTTTTTCTAATTAGCCTGTTCAGAGATGTAATTACATACCTCTGCAACAGATGGGACTTGAACCTGGGCCACATAACCTTTAATCTGCCATTCTGGCTGAGATCAGCTAAACCTGGGATCTTGTTAACCTACTGCTCATTTGGTTGAGTGAATCATGAGGAGAGCGCAGGTATTTTAAAAATTAATTAAGAGTAATTAGAAGTTTTTTAGAATCCCTACAGTGTGGAAACAGGCCCTTCGGCCCAACAAGTCCACACTGACTCTCAGACCATCCCACCCAGACCCATCCCCCTATAACCCACCTAATCTACACATCCCTGAACACTACGGGCAAATTAACATGTCCAATCCACCTAGCCTGAACATCTTTGGACTGTGGGAGGAAACTGGAGCACCCAGAGGAAACCCACGCAGACACAGGGAGAACGTGCAAACTCCACACAGACAATGGCCTGAGGGTGGAATTGAGCCCGGGTCCCTGGTGCTGTGAGACAGCAGCGCTAATCACTGAGCCACCGTGCTGCCTCTGACTACATTTCAAATGACTACAATTATTGACTACATTTAAGAAAATTCTTGGATACAAAATAAAACATGATAAATTTTTGAATTTTGATGAAAGTACACGTGTAAAACATCAACCAAGAGTGGAACACTGAAGGTGCTATCTTAAATTTACCTGCTGTGGTCTAGCCATCTGGTAATTAATAACAACGCAGAGAGGTGAAACTACCTGGAAGTTAATAACTATACAGGAATGGCGGCACTGGTTCTAGGACAGCCAGCCAGTCAGATTCAGACATGTCATTTGTTGCAAGGAAACCAACATATTCTGTGGTGACACCACTTTGCCTTCACATACTTCAAGAAAAATTACAGCATTGTCCTATGGGCATGTCTTCTTAGACTGACCCAACTCGGCACCAATTTTGCAATCACCGAATTTTATACCCCTTCTTAACTTAGTCGTAAAATAAATTTTGCACTATATTGTGACTGACAGGGGAGGAATGCACAATCCATTTAGTCCGACTAATACATGGTTTGCAACATAAAATAAAAATATTTTGCCCAAGTGCTGATATGGACAATCATACTAAACTTAGAATGAATAAATCTGTCAAGATTTCTTAAATAAACACAAAATTATCAATTCATTATAAAACAAAATCCATTAAAGATGATGCAGATTTGGTTAACGCAATTTATGACGTGCAAATAAATATTTACCCCTCTTCAGGCAAAACACACACATGTACACACACACTCCAGGTAAAAGGGGAATAAGAATTTCTCTCTGCAGAGATTGGCTTCAGCCAGAAAGTGTTTTTCTTTTTAATCATGGTTATTGTTAAAAGCAAAAGCAAAAGAAGAGGCAAAATGCAGAAACTTTCCAGTTCCAAAGTTTATTGACCTTTGGTCAAGTCACTGATCATGCTTGGTTGTCTGTGGGGTCTTGGTAGTCACAGTTTGGTCAGGAGAAATAATGTTGAAGATTTTTCAGTCACTCTTCCAGAAGAACAAACAAATTTCTGCCTGATCTCCCAATACAAGTGCTTCAGAAACAGGAGACATGAGCTGAACAGCTTGTTCTGTAGCAGGCTTTCCCCAACTGAAAATTCAAAAACAAACTCAGCCTGCAAACACTGTTCCAACAAAATAGCCATGAAACCCTAGATATAAAACAGTCTAGTGCTTTCACTGAAGTGAGTTCAAGTGACCTAGACAAGTAGTTATCAGGAATCATGCAGTTTCACATGAATTTCTTTTTATTAATTTGTGGGATGTGGGCATCGCTGGCTGGTCAGCATTTATTGCCCATCCTTAGTTGCCCTTGAGAAGGTGGTAATGGGTTCCATTTTCAACTGTAGTCTATGTGCTGTACAAAGACCCGCAATGCTGTTGCAAAGGGAATTCTATGATTGTGATCCAGAGACTGTGAAGGAACAGCAATAAATTTCCGAGTCAGAATGGTGTGTGGCTTGGAGGGGAATTAGCAGGTGGTAGTGGTGGTGTTCCCAATTGTCTACTGCCCTTATCCTTCTACATGGAAGTGGTCATGGTTTTGGAAGATACTGACTAAGGATCTTTGGTGAATGTTTTTCAATGCATCTTGTAGATAGTTCATACTGCTGCTACCGAGGGTTGGTGGTGGAAGGTGTGGATGTGGCGCCACTGAAGCAGGCTGCTTTGTCTTGGATCATGTTAAGCTTGTTGAGTGTTGTCGAAATGCACTTGTCCAGGCAAGTGTGGGGAATATTCCTTCATACTCGTGACTTGTATTTTGTAGATGGTGGACAGGGTTTGGCGATTCAGGAGGTGAGTTATTTGGTGCAGTACTCCTAATCTCTAACCTACTTTTGTAGCCACAGTATTTATATAGCAAGTCCAGCTCAATTTCTGGTCAATGGCAAAGCCCAGGCTGTCGATCGTGTAGGATTCAGTGATGGCAACATCATTGAATGTCAAGGAGTGGTGGTTAGATTGCGTCTCTTATTGAAGATGTTCATTGCCTGGCAGTTGTGTGGTGTGAATGTTACTTGCCATTTCTCAGCCCAAGCCTGGATATTGTTTATGTCTTATTGCATTTGAACATGGATTGCTTCAGTATCTCAGGAGTCACGAATGTGCAATGCTCAGCACCAACTATCAGCAAACATTTTGACCCCTTGATGGATGGAAAGTCATTGGTAAAGCAGCTTAAGATGTTTGGGCCTAGGATGCTACCCTGAGGAATTCCTGTAGAGATGTGCTGGAGAAGAGATTACTGACCTCTAACAACCATAACCATTTGCCTTTTGCGCATCTATAACTGCAACCAGCAGGGAGTTTGCCCCAGTTCCAGTTGATTCCAGTTTTGCTAGGGCTCCTAGATACTACACTACGTCAAATGACATTCTTGATGTCAAAGGCAATTTTATTTATTTTTTTTTTGTTTAAAAATTTCTGTGTCATATGATGTCATGGTTCATTGAAGTTTTTTTTAAAAAAGTAAATCATCCAGGCATCTCCACAATTTTTCAAACCCAAAGTCCACAGAAATTAATAAATATGAAACATTTTCATAACAGCCTCCACATATGTAATGTGCCAACCAATAGCTTGTGACAGGCATTTATTACTGTGTATCACAAAACCTGAAGTCTTTACATTCGATAAAATTAGCAGCACTTCTTTTTAAGTGACTACATAATTATTCATAGACAGTTTTTCAAGACTGGATATGGCTTTTTCTGCCTCTTCCATGTGGAATATAAGCTAGGAACTTGTGCACAATGTTTAATTTCTGGCCAGATCAACTCAGTAGTGATTAGGTGAGTGCTACACCTGAAAGTACTTGAGAGGAACATCAGTACTTATTCGTCTGTCTTTCAGCTTTCTTTTTGTTACCTATGCTAAAATGCAGGTTGATCACCCTATATATCAACAATTAAACATTTTGGAGTTTTTTTTTTGGATGCTCTTACAACAGCTCATCATGCCATCAACTCTCCCTGTTTAACTAGGCTTGAAGCATCAGGAGGGTCATCTTTAGCTTGCCTGCACTAGTGCTTGGATTACAAAAAGAACAGAAGAGAGTACGGCACAGGATCAGGCCCTTTGGCCCTCCAAGCCTGTGCCGATCATCATGCCCTGACTAAACTAAAAAGCAAACCTTCTGTCCTTATTTGGTCCGTATCCCTCTATTCCCTCCTTATCCATGTAACCATCCAATCACCTCTTAAATGTCACCAATGTGCCTGCTCCACTGCCTCTTCTGGCAGTGCATTCAAGACTCCTACCACTCTCTGTGTGAAAAACATCCCTCGCACATCTCCTTTAAACTTTTGCCCTCTCACCTTGAACCTGTGCCCCCTTGCAATTGAAACTTCAACCCTTGGAAAAAGCCTCTGACTATCCACCCTATCTATGCCTCTCATAATTTGTAGACCTCTATCAGGTCTCCTCTCAGCCACGGTCTTTCCAGTGAAAACAATTCTAGTCTTTTTAACCTTTCCTCATAGCCAATGCCCTCGAGACTGGGCACCATCCTGGTGAACATTCTCTGCACTCTCTCCAAAGCTTCCATATCCTTTTGGTAATGTGGCAACCAAAACTGCACACAATACTTCAAATACAGCCTAACAAGGGTTTTATATCGCTGCAACATGTTTTGCCAACTCTTGTACTCTATGCCCTGGCTGATGAAGGCAAGCATGCCATATGCCTTCTTAATCACTTTGGCCACCTGTGTTGCTGCTTTTAGGGAACTGTGGACCTGCACGGCCAGATCAGTCTGTATGTTAATGTTCCTAAGGGTTCTGTCATTAACAGTATAATTCACACCTAAATTTGATCCTCCAAAATGCATCACTTTGCATTTGTCTGGATTAAACTCCAGCTGCCATTTCTGTGCCCAAGTCGCCAATCTATCTATATCCTGTTGTATCCTTTAACAATCGTCGGCACTATCAGCAACTCCACTAATCTTTGTGTCATCTGCAAACTTACTAATCAGACCACCCATATTTACCTCCAGATCATTTATATATACTACAAACAACAGAGGACCCAAGACTGATCCCTGTGGAACACCACTAGTTACCAGTCTCCATTCTGAAAAACATCCTTCCACCGCTACCCTCTGTCTTCTATGACCAAGCCAGTTTTGTATCCATCGAGCCAGCCCATCACGAATCCCATGTGGTTTTAATTTTTGTACCAATCTGCCATGTGGGACTTTATCAAATGCCTTACTAATGACCGTATAAATTACATCCACAACGAATTATCTTTGTCACCTCTTCAAAACATTTGATCAGGTTGGTGAGATATGACCTTCCTCATACGAAACCATGCTGCCTGTCACTAAGTAGTCCATTTTCTTCCAAATGCGCATTTATCCTGTCCCTCAGTATCTTCTCTAAGAGCTTCCCCACCACAGATGTCAGACTCACCAGCTTATAATTTCCTGGATTATCCCTGCTTCCTTTCTTAAACAAGGGAATAACATTGGTTAATTTCCAGTCCCCTGGCATAAATGTGAAGATATCTGCTAATGCCCTTGCCTTGCCTCTCACAGTAACCTGGGATAGATCCCATCTGGCCCTGGGAAATTATCTACCTTAATGCAATTTAGGATACCCAAAATATCCTCCTGTAATATACTGACATTCTTTAGAGTATTCACACACTCATCGTTGACCTCAGCATCAGCCATGTCCTTCTCCTTGGTGAATACTGATACAAAGTACTTATTAAGGATCTCTCCCACTTCCTGTGGCTCCACGCGTAAGTTCCCTCTCCTTTGTCCTTGAAGGAGCCTACTCTTTCCCTTGCTAACCTCTTTCTTCTAATATATGTGTAAAAAGCCTTGAGATTCTCCTTGACCATGTTTGCTAAACGTGTTTCATGGCCCCTTTTAGCCTTCCTAATTCTGTGTTTAAGTTCTTTCCTAATTTCTTGATACTTCTCAAGGGCTTTGTCAGTTTGTAGCTGCCTAGACCTATTGTATGCTTCCTTTTTCCTTTTGACTAAGTTTACAATTTCCCTTATCATCATTGGTTCCTGGATCCTGCCATTCCTATCCTTGTCCTGCACTTTAATCAATTGGTCTTTAAAAACCTCCCACATTCCAGATGTTCATTTGCCCTCAAATAACTGCTCCCAATCCACATTCCACAGTTCTTGTCTAATTTGGATATAATTGGCCCTTGCCCAATTAAACATCCTCACCTAAGGGCCACTCTCTTGTCCTTGTCCGTGACTACTTGAAATGTTGGTCACTGAGCCCAAAATGCTCTCCTACTGAAACTTCGATCACCTGTCCTGACTCATTCCCTAATACCAAGTCTAGTATGGCCTCCTCTCTATCAACATACGGTCTCAAAAAGCCCTCCTGAACACATCTAACAAACTGATTCTACCCAATTAGAAATAAGAAGTATATCTTCACCAACTCATGCTTGTGTGTGCGTGCACAAACCACTGATCCAGAGCTGGATTTATTTCCCACCATTCAGACTATGAAATGGTTTATAGCCATTTGCCTCTGCCCCTGTCTGAAAACATTCTTGTAAGCAATTAGATAATTATCCCAGAATGCACTATAATTAATCAGCTTGAAAAACTAGGAACAGGCACCTATGCTCCTAACTGACTTCTGTAACTCGAAGGATGATGCTAGCAGAATCCAAACTCAAGGATTATGCTTATTGGGACTTGCAGGTGCATGCTTTCAAATAGGTTATGATAATATGAAACTAGCTTGATATGCAATTCCCTTGGAAATACTTGACTAATTTTTCAATAGAATCCTTGACCCTCAAAATGATGTAGGAGCTTGAAGTGATGCACTAGTAATTGGACTCTGTCAACATCAACATTTAGTTCACAATGTGCACTCTCCAAAATTCTGCATCATTGTAGAAATTACCCCAGGCAAAACAGATGGTTGGCTATATACCTGCTGATAATGCCTTTCATCTGCACCTCCTTGTCGTCTTGTTGTCTGCGAAGTCGTTCCTCACCCTCCTCCAGCCTGGCTTGGTATTCCAGCATCATCTTTTGTGCATGTTCCTCTTGGTTCTTTAAATGTACCTCATATTCTTCCAGCTTCCGATTGGATGCCCTCAGTTTATCCTGAAGTATAGCAATCTCCTGCTGATACTGATGTAAAGAAGGGAAGCTTAGGTGAGGTTGCATTTAGTTCCATTAAATTATTGCCAGCAAATCCAAAATTTTCAAATTTTTATCAACTAAACCTTTATTATCATTGAGCAGAGAAATGGCAAATGGAGTTTAATCTGGGTGAATGAGGGGTGATGCATTTTGGAAGATCTAATGTAGGAGGGAAGTATTCAGCAAAAGGCAGAACCCTTAGTAACATTAACATACAGGAGGGATCAAGGCGTACAGATCCACAGTTCCCTGAAAGTGACAATCCAAGTGGATAAGGTGGTCCAGAAGGCATATGGCATGTTTACCTTCATTAATCAGAGTGTAGAGTTTAAAAACTGTTAAGTCATGTTGCAGCTGGAAAGAACTTTAGTTAGGCCACACTGGAATATTGCATACAGTTCTGGTTACTACACTACCAGAGGGATGTGGGGGGTTTGGACAGGGTACAGAAATGTTTTACCACGATGTTTTGGAGTGTATTATCTATGAGGAGAAATTGGACAAACTTGGTTTGTTTTCACTTGAACATTGAACATTATGGGTAACCTGTTAAGTTTACCAGAGTATGAGAGGTGTGGATAGAATACATAGTCTGAGTCTTTTTGCCAGGAAAGAAATGCCAATTATTAGGGCACATAGGTTTAAGGTAAAAGGAGGTGTGAGAAACAGGTTTTTTACACAAAGGCTGATAAGTACCTGAAATGTTCTGCCAGAGAAGGTGGCGGAGGTGGATAAAACAGCAATGTTTAAGAGGCATTTTGACAGACAATTGAATAGGCAGGGAATAGCGGGATACAGACCGTATAGAGGCAAAAGCCTTTTAATGCAGAAAGACACCAGATATTGGCACAATCTTGGTGGGCCTAAGGGCCTGTTTCTCTGCTATGCTGTTTTTTGCTCTTCTATTTCTAACTAAGAAATTCTATTTCTTGAAGGGCTGTGATTTTTGAAGACTACCTTATCGTGCAAAGCACGGTGCGTAGATTAGTGATTTTGATTGGTAAGCTTAAAAGCTACTAATCTAGAATCCCTTTATACATGCTACTTCACTATAGTGCCAACTTCAAGTCCATCCAAAGTAAATTTCTTCATTCCCTCTTGCAACCAATATATTTGCTATCTCTGCAGCCATTTCTTTTAAGACCTTAGGATGCAGGCCATCAGGTTCATAGAACTTGTCAGCCTTTATCCCCATTACGTTTTCTAAATACATTAGGGATAGCCTCAGCTCACAGTATGAAACATGTTTAATGACTATATAGTATTGGCTTCTCAATGTTTGTAATGAATATAAAATGCATCATTCACCCTTCCAGGTAAAACAGATTGTGCATCAGTAACGAGCACTGTTCAGATAAGAAGCAGGTAGCTGATAAAGCTTTTAGTTCAGCGGTCTGCCATTTTAAGCATATGTAGTGATGTAAGCTTTTGAAATGAGTAGTTTAAAAAAGTATTTAAACCTAACAGCACTCAACTCTGTAGGAAGTAGCTACCATTATACATGGTGCCATAACCACAGCCCTCTACCAAAATAAAATAGTTTAGCAGAGATGCTTACTTACAAGAGTGCTACTTAAGTTTTCAGTCTCCAATTCAGACTCATCACAGTGAATGTGAGATAACAAGGTGTAGAGCTGGATGAACACAGCAGGCCAAGCAGCATCAGAGGAACAGGAAATGACATTTCGGGCCTAGACCCTTCTTCAAAAAACCCTAACCCTAACCCTAACCCTATCTCATCACAGTAAATCATGTTTTTGTGATGAGTAATGAACTGCAATTAATTATTGGTGTGGCAGTAAGGGAACATTTTGCAAATAGGTTTGAGAGGGTGAGAGTTTTAAACACGAATAGCTGGACAGCAAGAGGATCAGGAATTAATTTACTACAGTTCAATCTGGTTGAACTGGTGTCTGGTAAAATTACAACTGTGTATTTTGGTTATCATCTGGACAAACAGTGGGAAATACTCAAGTGTTCTATAGGAATCAAAAACAGTAAATAGCCCTAAACTTCAAAGGCTTCAGTTGCGTAGTTAGGAAATCTTGGCCAATAAATATACAGTATTAAATTAAAAAAGAAGCTTCCACAAACATAAGGAAAAGTGAAACTTAAAATAGCTAAGTGTGATAACTCAGACAGGGCAAATAGGAATCACTAATTCATCTCCTCATTGGAACTTGTTTAGCACAAATCTTCTTGCTAAAAGACAATGGACTGTCCAGCACAAACTTTTCATCTCAGCACTTTACTAAGCAGACCCCAGGGCCCTCTTGTGGTGCAGTGGTAGTGTCCCTACCCCTGGACCAGGTGGTCTAGGTTTAGGTCCTACCTGTTCCAGAAGTGTGTAATAACATTTCTGAACAGTTTGATTAGGAAAATAGGTTAAATAAAAAAAAATATATAAAGCAGACTCAGAAGGGACCTGTGGCATAGTGGTAGTGTCTCTACCCCAGCCAGGAGGCCCAGGTTCAAGACCCACCTGTTCTGTAGATGTGTAATAACATCTGTGAACAGGTTGATTCATAAAATATCTGTAAGCAGACCCAGGATTTAAAAAAAAAAGCAAACCCAGAGAATTCTTGTGATGCAGTGGTAGTGCCTCTACCCCTGAGTCGGGGGCCCTGGGTCCAAGTCCCACCTGCTCCAGAGGTGTGTAATAACATTTCTGGTTGATTACAAAAATTCAAAGCAGATCCAGGGATGAGTCAATAAAACTGTCTGTCTTAGGTTGGGACTAGCTTGTGTACATCATGAGCGGTGGCTCTAATTTGGTGATCAACAATAAATGATGTTCCTTTCCAATCAGATTTCCTGAGTTATTACACTAAGGAATACATTGAAATAAGAAGTGCAAGAAGGGAATATGAAAAATAATGAGATCTTAAAACCAACTGCAAATACTTTATAAATCTATTACATGTGGCAAACGTGAATGAAATACCATTAAAGACCTTTGAAGGCAAGAGTAAAATGGGCCTTAGGAAAGTGGAAGACTTGTTCAATAAGTTATTTTGTATCATTTTCATATTAGCAGTAAAGGCCTAAATACTAATGGCACAAATGAACCAAAATAAAATTAAATAACCTGACTTTAAACTAAAAAAGAAGTTAATTTATTATGTTTAAAGATTGGTAGGAATGATAACATGACTAATTTTGATATTCAATTTGAGGATCACAATCACCAGAAAGTATTCCAAAAACGAAATGGGGATAGAGGCCGACAAGTCCTCTGGACCTGCTGGCCTGCATCCTAAGGTCTTAAAAGAAGTGGCCACAGAGATAGCTCATTGGTTGCAAACATCCGAAATTCCCCAGATTCTGGAAACATCCCAGTGGATTAGAAAACTGAAAATATAATACCTCTCGACAAGAAAGGAGGGAGATAGAACACAGAAACTTTTAAGTCAGTAAGACCGACATCATTGAAAAATACTGGAAACTATTATTAAGGGGATAGTTGCTGGACATTTAGAACTTAAAATACAAATCAGGCAGAGTCAACACGATTTTCTGAAAGTGAAGTCAAGTTTAACGAATCTATTCTTTTGAATATGTAACAAACAGTGGATAAAGGAGAACAAGTGTAATGGATTTGGATTTCCAAAAGACATTCATAAGGTGCTATATAAAAGGCTACTACACAAGATTCATGGTATTAGGTGATGTATTAGAGTGGTGTGAGGGTTGCCCAATCAACAGGAAACAGTTGGTATAAATGGATCATTTCAGATTGGCAAACTGTAACTATCAGAGAGCCACAGGGATCATTGCTGGCACCTCAACTAATTAAAATATATATTTATGACTTGGATAAAGGGAATAACTGCTTTGTAGACAAATTTGTTAATGATCCAAAATTAGGGTAAGTGATCTTGCAAAAAATTGGCAGATTGAACATAGTATGGAAAATGTCAGGTTGTCTGGCAGGAAGAATTGAAAAACAGAATATTACGTAAATGGAGGGAGCCTGCCGAATGCTACAATACAAAATGATATGGATATCCTTATACATATGTCAGAATGTTAGCATGTAGATTCATTGAAGAGCAAGGAATGCAAATGGAATGCTGACATTTATTGCAAGAGAGATAGTGTATAACAGCCTTGAAGTTCTGTTACAAATGCACAAGGCATGAATGAGGGATACTTAATGGGGGCTCTACTTGCGTGGAAAATGATTCAGAGACGTTCAATAGGTTGATTTCTGTGATAAAATAGTTTCCTTATGAGAAAAGGTTGGACCTGTACTCATTTGAGTTTAGAAGGATGAGAATCTTCTTGAAACATGGATTCTGGGAGAGGGGGAACTTGACAAGGTTGATACTAAGAGAATGTCTCCCTTTGTTAGGGAATCCAGAACTAATGGACACAGTTTAAATTTGAATGCTCCCTCATTCTCAGTGGAGAGGAAGAGGAATTTCTTCTCTAAGACGTTCTTTGGTAACTTTCCCCCACTGAGCATTGAAAATTGATTCATTTGAATATATTCAAGGCTGATTTAAGACAGTTTCTTTGATCGTTGAGAGAGCCGAAGATTTTATGGGAGACAGGCAGAAGAATACAGTTTATGTAAATCAGGTCAGTTGTAATCTTACTTGAATGGCCGAAGAGGCCTGTTAAGCTGAAAGGCCTAATCCTGTTCCTATTTCTTAAGATCTTTATAATTTTATGATGCTTTCTCGTTTCCAGGATTGCGTTTTTAGATTTCGAAATTACAAACATCGCTCCATTATTTAAGAATGAAAGTGGTGGAAACTTCACAATGACAGACCTGCGAGTTTAGATCAATTTACAAGGAGGGCTATTGAATTTTATTTTGAGGTGCTCAGTAATGTGTTGGATCAGGAAGAGGCTATGGAAGTACCTCTGTTGATTTCCACAAAGCAATTGATAAGGTTTGATAAATAAATTATTTTCAAAAACAATTAGCATAAAAAGAGAGTATGGATATACCATTTAGCTGCTTGAAGCATAGAACATAGAACATAGAACATTACAGCGCAGTGCAGGCCCTTCGGCGACCTGTGAAACCAATCTGAAGCCCATCTAACCTAAACTATTCCATTATCATCCATATGTTTATCCAATGACCATTTAAATGCCCTTAAAGTTGGCGAGTCTACTATTTTTGCAGGCAAGGCATTCCACGCCCTTACTACTCTCTGAGTAAAGAACCTACCTCTGACATCTGTCCTATATCTATCACCCCTCAATTTAAAGCTATGTCCCCTCGTGCTAGCCATCACCATCCGAGGAAAAAGGCTCCCACTGTCCACCCTATCTAATCCTCTGATCATCTTGTATGTCTCTATCAAGTCACCTCTTAACCTTCTTCTCTCTAACGAAAACAGCCTCAAGACCCTCAGCCTTTCCTCATAAGACCTTCCCTCCATACCAGGCAACATCCTGGTAAATCTCCTCTGCACCCTTTCCAATGCTTCCACATCCTTCCTATAATGCGGTGACCAGAACTGTACGCAATACTCCAAGTGCGGCCGCACCAGAGTTTTGTACAGCTGCAACATGACCTCATGGCTCCGAAACTCAATCCCTCTACCAATAAAACCTAACATACTGTATGCCTTCTTAACAACGCTATCAACCTGGGTGGCAACTTTCAGTGATCTATGCACACGGACACAGATCTTTGTGCTCATCCACACTACCAAGAATGTTCTGTCATTTACTGTAATCATGGAAAATCTGACCTATTTTTATATATGTGCCTTTTCCCATATTCCTTGATACCAACGGTTAATTAAAAAAAATCAATCTCTAATCTGAATCAGAATCCGAAAATTTCTTGTGCACATTCAACAAATTCCTCTTCATCCAAGCCCTTAACACTACAACAGTCCCAGTCTATGTTTGATAAATTTAAAATCCCCTACCGTAACCACTATTATTCTCACAGATAACTGAGACCTCATTACAAATTGTTTCTCAATTTCCCACTGACTATTGGGGGTGGGGGTGGAGGTTCTATAGTACAATCCCAATAAGGTGATCATCCCTTTCTTATTTCTCAGTTCAACCCAAATAACTTCCCTGTACATGTTCCCAGGGATGCCCTCGCTAAGTACAGCAGTAATGTTATCTTTAATCAAAAACGCCATTCCCTGTCCCCTCTCATTCCGTTTTCTATCCGTCCCATAACATCTATACCCTGAAACAGTCCTGTCCATCCCTGAGCTCCATCTCTGTAATTGCTATGATATCCCAGTCCCATGTTCCCAACCGTGCCCTGAGTTCATCTACCTTATCTATTTAGGCCTCTTGTATTGAAATAAATACAGTTTAATTTATCAGTACTATCTTGTTCTCTGCTTTGTTCCTGATGTGTATGAGAGATATGGACCAAATGCTGGCAAATGGGACTAGATTTATATAGGATATGTGGTCGGCATGGATGAGTTGGACCAAAGGGTCTGTTTCCATGCTGTATGCCTCTAACTCTATAATCTGAAATTATCAAAGATCAAATATCAACTGCTATTTGCAGACAAGCCTTTAAAACTTCTACTGCCCTTCAGGTGAAGAAGTGTTTCTTAATTTCATTTCTGAAAGGGGGTAACCTTGTGATCAGAGTTGGTAATTAATTGGAAGGTAGAGACAGAATGGAATAAACAGTATTTCCTCGGGTAGAATGTATAAATGGTGTTCTATTAAAGGATTTGTTTTGGGGTCTCACCCATTTATAGTATGTTGATGACCTTGGATAAAGGAATAGTGATTAATATATCAAGATGCCAGTAAGTAGGAAAGCACATATAATTGCACGGATGGAAGCAGAAAGTTTTTTTTTCAAGAAGGGGAATTCTTGAGCAAAGCCACTGTAGGGATCAGCCTAAAACTAAAGGAGACTCCTGCTCAATGGAGCAGATGGCAGTTTTGCTGCCTGATTTCAGTTTATCCATACAGATTGGCTAAAATAGAGGGGGACACATGATTTGTTCTTATTTTCTAACTGGTACTGAAGACCAGTATTCCTGAGTGCAGTCTCATGGTTCTTATGAAAACTGAACATGCCCTTTAAGCTAGCAGAAATGACAGCCTTTCTTTATTACATATTATGAAAATGTGTAATTTCATGTTACAATCTAATTTCCCATTCACCATAACTTGCAAAATAGATGAGAAAAACCATGTGCATTGTCATTAAACAGGTTAGAATTTAATACAGCCAATTTGAAGTGAATAACTGCTTTTAGCATCTTGCTCTGTATTTTTCTTTTTTTAAATAATATGACACTAACATTACATCACTTTAAATGATCCAACTGCCCTTCTGTGAAACAGAACTTTCAAAAGTCAAATTAAAATATCTGAAATTATCATATACATGCAAGTTAATATGCAAGAGAAAAAGCAGATAGGTTGTGCAACAGAAAAATAGCTGTCTGGTAGTTGACATTACCTTCTCTATCTGGCTAAGTTCCTCTTTAGGTCTGACATCATCCCTGCGCTTAGAGCCTGGGTCCACTGTTTCATCATCTATGAATTGCATGTTCATATTCATCAGCCATGCTGCAGTGCGGTCCACTGAGGACAAGGCATTCGCAGGTGAGGGGGCCTAAAAAAGCGTGATAAAGCTCAGCTTTGAGATTGAATATTACATAAGAAGATCAAGCAGAGGAAGTGAAGCAACGCAGACCTTGACTTTTAGTACTTCAAAATGGAGCCACCTTCAGATCAATTCTTGGTTTACAGGAAAAGAAGATTTTACCTAGGTTCTTAAAAAATTTAATTATAATAATGAAATACTCTGCAGGTAGTTGTCACTAGTTCACTCAGTACACGTGATGTTTCTATAAGATAACAGGATTTACTGGAACGAACGATGAACCAATGCCTCGAGTAGGAATCCTAGCTATAAGTGTGCTGTGACTACAACAGCAGGTCAGGGCTAGGTATCCTGCAGTAACTAACTGATTCCCCAATACCTGTCCACCATAAGGCAGGGATGTGATGGAATACTCCTGCTTTGGACAGATGAGTACAGCTCCAACAACCCCCAAGAAGTTTGAAACTACCAAAGACAAAGCAACTTGCTTGATTGGCACCACATCCACAAAATTCACTCCTACCACCACTGGTGCTCAATAGCAGCAGTGTATACCATCTACAAGCTGCACTGCAGAAGAGGCAGCAGATACATGGGGAAAAATACCACCTGCAAGTTCCCCTCCAAGTCACTCACTATGCTGACATGAAAATATATTACCACTCCTTCAGTGTTGCTGGCTCAAAATCCTGGAACTCCCTCTGTAAAGGCATTGTGGGTCTACCTACAGCACCTGGGCTGCAGTGGTCCAAGGAGGCAGCTCACCACCACCTTAGTGGTAATTAGCAATAAATGTTTGCCCATTCAGCGACATCCACATCATGAATTGATAAGAAAAATAATCTTTTTTTAAACTTATTGAACATTCTATTCACCTTCCTTTGACTATCAGTTTGAAATCATTTCCTTGTATCTATTCAATAATGCTTTAACTACAACTGTGACAAAGATATACTTTTCCCTCTTCTCTTGGTGATAAGCTCTTGGCTGCTAAGTACTCAAATTGAGGACTCTTGCTTGAGCAAGAGCAACTGTCTCTAATCATCACTACACTGTCCTTCTGCACTATATCTTGTCTACTCTGGCAATAAGACATTAAGATTCAGAATTCCTCTGTTTCGGAATTCAAAAGTATGGATTGTGTAACTGGATTAAAAAGTAATACTTTGTACGTGGACAATAGGCACAAAATAAATATACAAAGAAGAATGAATGAAAATGTAAGTGAGTCAACAGGAAATATTTTCCATGTTGCACAGGAAGGCAACAGATTAACAAGAATCTATCTACCTCTTCTTTAAAAATATTCAAACACTCCTCCACTTCCACCACCTGTTACTGGAAGTGAGTTCCAAAGATCTATGGCCCTCTTGAAGATTTTTATTTACCTCATTTACCTCCTGTTTCATGTTCCTCCTGATAAATAGATAACATTCTATTATCTTTCATAGTTATTTGCTTTTAAGACGATGCTTCTCCAGTTTGTGCAATCTAGGGCAAGTGATTCCCACATGTTTTTTGGGGATGTTGTTTACTTAGGGAGGCTTTCAGGGTGGCCTTGTAGCATGTCCTCTGCTCTCCTAGTGATCACTTACCATTGTGGAGCTCAGAGTTGAGCACATTTTCAGGGAGTTTTGTGTTGCGCATACAGACTGCATGGCCCACAGCTAGATGTATGTGAACAGTGCCTCAATACTGGGCATATTGGCCTGGGAGAGGATACTCACATTGATATGCCTAACCTGCCAGTGGATTTGCAGTGCTGGTTATAACTTGTCAGGAATTTGTGGAGTCTGTTGTACATGGTCCATGTTTCTGACACATACAGGAGGGTGGGGACCACACCTGCTCTGTAGATCATGAGCTTGGTGTTGGGTTTGACGTCTCTGACTTTAAACACTCTCTTCCTTTGGTATCTGAAAGTTGCTCCAGTATGTTGACTATGAAATCCAACATTGACTCTAATGTTTGCTCACACTGAGAGGAGGCTCCCGAGGTATGGGAAATGGTCCAGTTTGTTCAAGGGCTCGCTGTAGATTTTGATGAAGAGTGGGCTGGTAAAGAACCTTTGGTTTTCTGGATGTTTAATCTGAAGCCAATTCTTTCATTTGCCTCAGTGAATGTCTGATGATAATTTCTAGCTTAGCCTCGGAGTTTGCACACATGCTGGTGTTGTCTGCATACTGCAACTCCCAGAAGTAGGGTGGTCTTGTTTCTGGTCTGTATGCAAAGGTTGAGCACTTTTTCTGCTCGGCTTGTAAGTTAGCTCTACTCTGGTGGGGAGTTTCATGGAGATGGAGAGTGTTGCAGCAAGGAGGACGGAGAAGTGTGTTGGCGCAATGATGCAGCCCTGCTCGACCCTGGCTTTTATTCCTATTGAGTCATAAAGACCAGGAGAGAGGGTGGCCCAGAGACAGTCACCACCAGCTAAAAAAGCAAGAGAGTGGAGGGTTAGCCTGATCATGACCTACTTACCAGACCAAAGGGATATGGAATCCCTGACCCTGACTGCCCCAGAGGATGATTGCTTGTATCCAAGCTCCCAGACTGAGATCAGACTCTATGCGCATTACTGCTTGTGGTAGGATACCCCCTGCTAAATAACAGTCCTCTTGGACATCACTGAGGACTATGTCCCTAAGGCTTTGAGACATGCTTCATTTGTTTGAAGCATTTCGGTGTGTTTGCCATAAAAGCTGCTGGCAACTGCTGCAAGTGTGACATTCATGCAGCAAAGTGCCATACAACAACATGTTCACCCCTTTAACTGATCACTGTCAACAAACAGAATAAAGATTCCTGGCTTTATGGCTGCACTGAAAGACATACAAGACAGAAGTACTGTGAGCATGTAAGTTCTGAACAAGATGGCAAAGTGTAGCAAGGCAACGTAAGGCAAAAAGGCAACGAAGTGAGTGACCTTTAAGAACACAAGGGGACCTGAAGTGTACCTTGCTCTGATGTACGAGATGGGAGCCTGACCCTGTTTGCAAAGCAGCCTAGCAATAGCATTACAATGAAACATGTATGGGGAGGCGATGGCCTAGTGGACTATTAATCCAGAGACCCAGATAGTGTTCTGGGGACCCAGGTTCGAATCCTGCCATGGCAGATAGTGGAATATCTGGAATTAAGAATTTACTAATGATGACCGTGAATCCATTGTCGATTTTTGGAAAAACCCATCTGGTTCACTAATGCCCTTTAGGGAAGGAAGCTGCCATCCTTACCTGGTCTGGCCTACATGTGAATCCAGACCCACAGCAATGTGATTGACTCTGACTCTGAACTGCCCTCTGGGCAATTAGGATGAGCAATAAATGTTGCCCAGCCAGCGACGTCTGCATCCTATGAATGAATAAAGAATAAAAGAAAGGAAAAACGAGTTGATGAGCTCAAGTCTAGCATTGAAATGGATAGCAGTATTCCAAGTGAGTTGTAGATATGCTGTGATGTGGGTAAGGCTGGTGGGTGTCTGATGCCAACCTCTGTTAGGAGGTGGTAGGCAGTCATAATTCATGGACCCTGGAGTGTTGATGGAGACCCACAGGAGTATGTGGCAAGCTGGAGCCATCAGCATAAATGTTGGGAATTATAACCATCCGTTTTCTCTCCACTGCATGGGAGAATAGGGAACTGCATATATTGCAGCTGAGGTGAGAATAGGGTCTGAATGAGATGTTAATACATGGCCCTTTCACCACGTACTAGCAAGATTCTCATCATGCAGGTCAAACCTTGGGTGGAAAATTGGGTTATTTCTCAACATTGAGAGTCTCATTTTTTGCGTTCTCTCCATATTTTCCCAACTGACTTGCGACTGCCCATGTCATTGAAGTACCACGAGGATTCCATCCATTGATTCTTCGGAGTTGTGGTAGATTTGAAACTTCAACGCTTCTGCCCGCTGTTGTCAAATTTCCCCAGTGACCTGCGTCAGATGGCTTCCATCTTTTGAGGGATTTTAAGTGGACTAAACCTAGGTTCTGGCTTCTTGCTGTTAGCTCTACTAAATAGGAAAGGTGGTGAGCAAAAATACCACCCTGAGTCCAAACACAATATTAAGTTCACAGGAGGAAAACGTGAGAAAAATGAAACTTGGTAACTTCACTAAACTAAAATGGCTAAGAAATGTGAAGATCTAAAAGTTTGCTAGCAGGGACACAATGCCTTGATTTAGACAGCAACTTGGCTGTCATAACTATGTTGCAATTTATTAAAGAAAGACAAGTAAAAACCTTAACTATATTTAAGTGATGTTTTGAGTTTATGGAATGTGTTTCTACAATCTACTTTATATTGCAAAGAATGGCAGCAGTTACGCACGTGAAGTGATAAATAAAGGATTGTAAACAAGAATTGATCTTTAAGTTGGCTCCAGTATGTGGTACTAAAATATACTACTTAAGCACTTATTCCTGCAGAAAATATAACGTTGTCAATGGCAGCAAAGTAATCTGAAAGCCATATTATCGACTTTTTCCAGAAGAACTGGAAAAGATGTATAAATGACCATGTATTCCAATCACTATTTTCAGTCACATCCATTAAACTTCATGACATGTGTGGGAGGTCATTTATGACATTGTTGTGTTCATTCATCCTTATTTTCCAAGAAAATTCCAAAGAGAAACAAATAAGGATGATATGCAATTTTTAAAAAATTATAGATTACACCCATTGAATAAGAACTAAAATGCTGAAAATTCTCAGCATGTCAGACAGTGTCTATTAAGAGTGAAAGACGTTAAAGTTAATACAAGAAAAGTTCATGTTTCAGATTGTCAGTCTTTCATCAGGACAGATTTGAAGTTCTGCAACATTTTCCATGCAGTAGTTTGAGTTTGTGTTAACCATGAAATATTTTAGCCATTTTCTCTAATCAGTGATGCATAATTTCTCCTGAATTCAGAGTCCAGTGTGTACTGCTCCTTGATGCTATTTCATGAGAAGAAAGTTGTATCCATTCAAACAGCACATCTGTAACACCAGTACTAGGAATAATATCA